TATCATGTACATTTCAGGCTTGCCAGAACATACAAAAAAAAAAGAAAAACCATACCATCTCACAAGACATATGTGCCCATCTAAGTCTATGGGGAAGAAAAAAATAGGTAAAACTTACTTAGCAGAAAGTGATTGCCCATGAAATTGCATTAAAACAAAGTATAAGTTGCTCTCAAAAGCCAATACACATCGTAAGCATCTCTTTTATTTGTTGTAATATAAAGAAGCATACATCATTCAGTTCTTTTAAGTACAACTCAAATTGTACACTAACAAAAAAGATCAATCCAGACATCCATGAACATGTCACAACAGGATTCATTACATTTTGCTCTGCTGGTATTGCACTTGGAATAGTTTTGAAGTAAGGCACAGTAAAAACAAAGTCATTTAGTGCTTCTACAGCAGATGTCTTTTTTTAAACACATGCTACATGACGTAAAAGTACTTCTAGCTTATGTATATACACACAGGGAAAAAGAAAGAAGCATGCACTAGAGGATTTAGATTTCAACATATCTTGTTGTTTCATAATATACAAATAAAGTAGTTTAAAGATGTAAACAAATTGCATGCACATAAACTAGAGCAAAATCTTTAATACAGTATCTGAAAGCTATTATGCTTAAATAAAAAAATATAACTTATTAGTACTCCGGTTTATGTGCCATTTTTGTCCTGTAGAGATTAAAAATTTGTGTTGGGGTCAGGGAGTTATGGTTGGGAAGAGAGCATTTTGCTGGTTTTGCCTTTGGTTTTATTTTTTTGCTGTACACATTGGCAGCAGTACACTGGTAGGAAAGACAAATATGGCTTTTGCAAAACATAATGAAAACATGAGAAAGCACAATTGCATTTGGGGTCCAGTATCCTGGTATTTTCCAGTCCAGAACAACAACAACAAAAAACAATTGGATCTATGCTTTGAATTGGGAATGCTACACATTCCAAAAGCCCTATCTAAAGACTTTTAAACTCTACAAAAACCAGACACTTTGCCAAGTGTAAACTCCTAAAAACTAAACAAAGAAGAATCTGAATGACTTGAGCTTCGCTTTCCACTTCAAATGCTACTAAACAGGCAATAGGTTTCTCCCATGGCTGTGATAGCTGAAGTGCTATTAGATTGTCTTCAGAATTAACTAGATGCCAAGAGGGGGGTTGCCTATTTTCAAACAAGTACATTAGAGATTAAGTAAATTAACTGCATAATTTTTCTTTTCACTTTATCTTTGGCATACATTATGCCATTTTTCTAATTAAATACAGGACATGTACCACTCTACATTCCAACATATCATGCTGAAAAGGCACATTTGCTGCTGCGTGGGTGGCAAGGGAAGACTCCTTATTTTGTAAAGGGCACGGTGTTCAGTGCGACATTCTTTCCCATCCCCCAGAGAGTGTTTGGTTAGACCAGGTACAGTTCTACACAGTGGCCTCCCAGAAGCTGTCCATTTTTCTCAGCCACTGCTTTCTTAGCTAGATCCAGGCTTGGAAAAGTCACCAGTGCCTCTCCGCTGGGCTGGCCACTGAAGTTGTAAAGCACGAGGATGGAATCTGTGTGGAGCTGCAAAGGTACAAGAAGACAAAAGGAAATAAACTATTAAGGCCGAAGATGACACCTAGAAATGCAGTTTTTAAATGCTGTGCACCAGGTTCACTCCGTTCCTGTGTTTGTGGAAAGAGATTCCGGATGCAAGAACAGTAAAGAAGATGGACCAAAGATCAACAGAATCAGCAGCTCTTATTCTGCTGGAACAAAATGATGTAGACAATTCCATGCAGAGATTTTGCTAGACAAGTAACTGAGTTTAGAGGTTGACCAGAAAGAACTTAGTTGTTAATAAAGGGTAAATTGAGCAAGAAAGACCAGGCATTCAGTGAATAATTCTTGTACTATGGGGACTACCAGCAAGTGACAAAGGCTATGAACGCATGCAGATACTCGCATGCAAAGTTTAAAAAAAAAAAAAAATGGATAGAGATGTATTAGAGTTCTGTGTTGGGAGGATTAGCTGAACTTAAAACACAGATATACAGAGCAAGAAAGATTGCTCAGTGAAAGTCGAAGCACTACACCAGGTCTTACTGAATCAAAGAAATGTTTATTATAATTTCAAGGATGATAAGAAAAACAAGATAGAAAATTAGATTATTTAGTCATTGGATTTGATTTACTGTGGAGAGCATTTGCCCTCCTAAATTCTTAAAAGACAGTTTCAAAATACTGAGTTTAAAGCAGATGTGTCTGTATTCCCTATGGTACCCCAGCCATTTCTTACAACATACTGGAAGTCCTTCCAGGCTAAGCTTACAAGTGCCATTTGTACGTTGGATAGAAATGAATCTGCGTGTAATTCCAAAATCAAAAGGTTGGAGGATCAAAAAAGCTCAGCATACAAGATTAGTACCAGACAAAACAAAATCTTTGCTGGAAAACCAACTATTTTATGAGTAGCAGCCTGATTCAAGTTAAGTTCATGTGACATATGTCCTCATGAGTTTATGAAGTTCTAAGATATTTAAGATTTTTAAAATAGAATTTGTGCATGCCTAGTATACCACAATACTAGACTTAGTTATTATCAGTAGTAGTTTCTGATCAGCTTTGCATTCAAACATACAAAAATAAAGCAATACATGCCAGAGCTTCAACCACCCAAACACTTAGCATGCAGTAGAGGTATTCTTAAGATATAAGCATCAGTACACTTTAGAAACTAGAAGAATGTATAGAGACATTTAGCACTGGCTTCACACAGAATTAAAGTTAATCAAGCATGCAGAAAGAAATTCATAGACAAATAAATACATCATGTCTGAAGCCCAGTTCAGGTTTAGAAATAAATTTAGTTTATTTCAGAAAAACGCTGTGCTCAAAGAGAAAGTTGTACGCAGTTCAGTTTGGGCCACAATCTGAGCAAAAAGACAGCCTGCTCTAAAATAGCTCTTTAATGTTAATCTTTATAATATCAGTCATGAATTAAGTTCAATATTGAAGTTCAAAGTTGAAAACACACACGAAGCACAATCAGCCTGTTGAGCACATATGACCGCTTTAAAAACTAGTTTAAAAAGCAGCATTAGTATAACGCTAGTGCCAGGACCCAGAAATTGATTTTATTTTAGTAAATCAGAGTTGTATAGAAAGCTAACAGAGAAGACCACATATTCCAGAAGCAACATAGGCATTAAACAAAAAAACCTTCATGTTCTTTAATACCTATGTAACAGCTTTACATTCTGATTTACATTGAGAGAAACGTGATTTCTTTATGTACCTATATTAAAAAAATAGATTCAAATCTGTACAAATCCTTTTTTTTTCCTGAATAGTTTGCTAGTAGAAGAGTGGTATCTATAATGCTACTTTGGACTGCACAGAGTTGAGCTACTCCATGAATTACTTTCTAGCCAAAGCCTGTTTCCAACTAATACATTGTAGAACCCTGTAGCTGAACTGGATTTCCAGATAATCTGAGTAAAACAAGAGAGACAAACAGATTGTCCAACGCCACATAAATGTAAAAATGCTCAGAATATTGCCAGGTATTATTCTGTGCACCACCAGGCCATGCAGCCTCTACTCTATATTCTCCTTAGTAGATCTAATAGTGGCATGAGAACCCAACTAATTTGAAAACAACTGAGTGGATGTTGATTTTGTGCAAGTTGTCTATGCTATCTATGAAGATACTGCTGTTAACATGTATTATTTGGTTATCTTTTTTTTTTTTTTTTTTTGAAAAAAAGTTTCAGTACAAAAAAATGGTAAAAAAAAAAACACAGTACTTAATCAGTAGCATTTTGAATGGAATACAATAGCATCTGGAAGTGATGAACTCCACCTAGGTCGCAATGATATGCCTTTAAGAAGTATATGGTAGTGCTATCAGCAATTTTAGTTTGTTGTATTAGAAAGCCACTATACTAAAGAAGCCTCTCCTAAAAAAGAAAGTATGTAGTTCACTTTTTACTAGTGAGATCAAGAAACAGAAAAAAATAACCTCTACACAGCTATACAGTATAGAAAAGAAAGCCAGAAGTCTGTTGTTTGTTTTGTGCACACATTTTGTAGCTGTAGCAAGAAAAACGTATCTTCCACTGACATGTTAAAAGAAAAATACTGAACTGAAAGCTTCACATGAAAATAAGCACTAATCAGCTCTTCTGGAAGTCTAGCACACCATCTGAGCAAAACCAGGCACACTACCTCCACCACCACTATCCCAACAACTACAGATCACACTTGACCTATTTGCTTAGGTTAGTTGATTTTTTAATAGGACAAAAGCAGAAAGATTAAAGCAAAGATCCCAATGCAAGCTAAGAAGGGAAAAAAAAAAAAAAAAACACCAAGAAAGCTCTGCATCAACAAGCCCTTCTTTCCCTTCCCATTCACCACTGGAGGTCCAGTTTCTGCCAGTTGCATCTTACCTTCTTCGGAAGTTACAAAGAGTTACAAACAGACCCACTCTTTCGGTGCTTGTAACACACTCCTTGCTTGATCGCTCAGCTGAATAAGGCCATTGTAGTCATCGGGTGCATACTACAGTACAAGTGTGATATATGATAAATCAACAAGAGAAGGAACAGTTCTGGTACAGCAAGCCACACAGACCATCATTTGCAACCAAAATTAAGAGCATCAGCTACAACAACTGGCAGGAGACAGTGAGTTTGACAGACACCATTTTTAAGCAAGATGAAAAAAAAATACATCAAATGAATTGGTTGTAGGAATAGATTTACAGTAAAGGCACGTGGGGAATATTCTGAACTGTGTATTTGAGCAGCTCCTATTTAAGGAGGGAAACAGTTTAGACCATGAAGTATTCCTTTTTTTTTGTTGTACTTATGACTCTTAAGTATCAGCTAACAAAACTCTTAAGTTTGCATGATCTTGCTTCCAGTAATGACTCATTGGGACAGCTGACCATCTTCCAGCATGCACACTGAAGTGGAGGATTAGAAGAAGTATACAGATCTCATTGAGATTTTTTTTTTTTTTTGCAGTCATGGAAATAAACTGCATCTTCTCTAGCATAGAGTGATATGCGTTTCAGCTGCATACAATACTTGCATTACAACTATACTGTAAAGTCTATAAAGAAAAACAATGTCCCAGCATGAATGCACTTGAAATATTTTTTAAAAGCATTTATACTAATATAGCTTATTTCCATACTGAATAGAAAAAGGAATAAACTATACAGTATAACTGCATCATGACAGGTTTGTGGTAGAATATTTCAAATAAAAACAGTGACTGTACAGTACAGTTGCACCAATGAAACAAGACAAAACCCTCCTCACTTGTGGGTTAGATCTAACAAAAATTTGAGATCCTGCATCTGAACAGTAATCATGTATACTATTGGAGGGCCTATTACAAATATGAAATCTATACTCAGAAAATAGATCGTGAGGAATACAACACACTGTTTTTTATCTATATCTTATCGCTCCAAAATGACATATCCCAGAATGGGACTGAGCATATTCACACATGCTACAAACACATGCTACTGCAACAGTTCCTGTAATCCAGAAGACAAAAAGTCTAGTATGACTCAAGCTCTAGAATATCCTTTCAGTTCTCCCATCTCCCTAAAATGGCTGTTTTGCATTAACATTTTAGAGGATTGCCAGAAGCATACAATGTACACATACTATGCTGGCTTCTTTGATATTCCTATAGTACAAAGAAGTCTCCTGCCAGCTTGGGGAAAAATTATATCATATTTGGGTGTACAGGACACATTGTATCCATCCAAAGTGAAGTTGAAAAGGAGATAAAAAAAAAGAAAAACCACAACAAAACCACCATCACAGTACACACCTTCCACAGAGAGCAACCAAGAGCCCAGAGAACATTAAAGAAAAGAACCTCCCAGAATTTTTACTACTGGATTCTAGCCACCTTCACATCTAGACCCATGCCATTAAGTAAAAGACAAATATAAGAAGTATTTTCTAGATAACCTCTGCCAGGGCAACCAGACCGTGCAAATATTAGATTTATCAGTTCCCAGACCTGCCCTTGAAACAAGTCTACAAAATGTAAGTTTACTCTTTGGAAGGAATGTCTCAAGATAGTACATACTTTAGATTATCAATAGATGTACAGTATGTAAAGGTCTATAGTCTCTAGTAAGGGAGAGTGTTCAAACACATAAGCAATGAGGAAAACATGAAAGTGGGAAAATTACCCTGCACAGAAATGTCAAAGTTGTCGGACCTTAGGCCTAGGCCTAAAAAAGAAACAGAAAAAGGAATAATAATAAAAACTAGAAGTCAGTTCCAATCACAAGAAAAAAAAAAAAGTAAGAGACAAAATGTAATTAAAACAGAAGTTGCAGGATAGTAAAGTCTTCAGACTTACGGATTACAAAGAGTAGTACTGTAGACCAAGATAGGAAATAAAAGTGGGGGAATTCTTATTCCCTGTGAATGAAATAGGAACTACCCTACCTTGCCTGAGGAAATACACCAACATGAATACTTCCAGTTCTGTCTGCTTTTTATAAATCCATAGAAACAAAACAAAATTAAATGACCCAGGGTAAACAGTGTAAAGTCAAGGGTGATTCTACAATCCCATTGCTCAGAATGGAGATACTGTTCTGGTGGTGGGCTCAATTCTGTTTCCATTTAGATATGAAAAACGCCACCTAGTGATTTAACCCCCTATATGACCAGTTACAAGTTCACCGAGCTAGATTTTGGCTGTTTCTGGTATAAATGTTGCTGAGCCCTGAGACAACACACAGCTTCATACTGTACTTCAAAGTTCCACCCTTAACAGACAAGTAACTGGTAAGAAGCTACCATCCACTGCAATAGTTCCCCCTTTAACTTAAATTCAAATAAAATTAAAAGCAGACCTCCCTGTTCCTACCTCCACTACCCTCATCATCACCTTATTCCCATCTTCCTTGCTTCTCTGAGCTGAAACACAGCCTCTTTCCTCAGACCTGCTGCTTTCTCACCTCCCCTCCTTCTGAGTTCACAGCTCTTGGAGGGCTGGACTAGATGATCCAAAGAGGTCCTTTTGAGCCTGAAAGATTCTGTGATTCAGAAGCTTTTACTCAAACATTCTTTACTCTGAGGGTGGTGAGGCACTGGCACAGGCTGCCCAGAGAAGCTATGGATGGTGGTGTTCAGGGCCAGGCTGGATGGGGCTTGGAGCAGCCTGGGCTGGTGGGAGGTGTCCCTGCCCATGGCAGGGGGTTGGAGCTGGATGGGCTTTAAGGTCCCTTTCAACTCAAACTGTTCTGTGATTCTATGTCAAATGCAGTGTTAAATCTAGTGGTCTACTGGAATGATACAGTAGCAAAACTAAGTTTTTAAGCCATTACTTTTATCTATGAAATACATGTCTACCAAAGTTTTCTTCATCATACCCTATTAAACTGGATATTCTCATATGTTCACAGAAGATGAACAGGAGTGACCTATTTCCTAGAATTACTTAAGGAGAATGCAGAAACAAATTGAGACAAATTGAAGAAAATTTTCTTTCCTTCCCCCCCCCCCTTTTTTCTTTTTTTTTTTTTTTTTTTTGCTTAGTCTAGTAAGGAAGAATACACAGAATACCACTGTTAAATAAAATGCTCCATTACAAAGGTCAACTTCAGATGCTAAGGACATCAACACTGAGTTACCAGAATGTGCCTGGTGCTATACTGACCCCTTTCAGTGTTTTTTAGAGATGTGAGCTAAGATAAAGAAAGATGAAAGCTACATAGGGAAGCCAGGTGTAGGAAACTAACCTAGGAGAAAGAAACAGAACAGAACCTTTGTAAGCAGTTAGCAAATAAGGTCCTGGGGTCAATAATTAATTCTACAGCAAGATGCCAGAAGGAATATGCATACATAACAACCAAAAAAAATGCAGCAGACTGGGAGAGATACTGCTGAATAGCAAAGACTGTTTCCCCATTTCCTACATTTTTCCCTTGTCAGCTCCCCTGTGGCCGTAGGGACTTTCATAGCTTAAGACATACAGTGACAAGACCATTATTGACAGACATACAGTGTCACAGCTAAAGCAAAATATTTTTTCCTGAAGGACATGGCGCTTCTTCATAGAGCCAGTGATTTACTTTACAAATGTAAAATATTAAAGTCTTCACTCGGAGGGTGGTAAGGCACTAGAACAAGTTGCCCAGAGAAGTTGTAAATGCCCTATCCCTGGAGGTGTTCAAGACCAGGTTGGATGGGGTCCTGGGCAATCCGATCTAGTAGGTGGCATCCCTTGCCATGGCAGGAGGGTTGGAAACAGATGATCCTTAAGGTCCCTTCCAACCCAAGCCATTCTCTGATTCTATATCTACCCTTCTAGGTATTAACATTTGAAATGGCAGAGAGTTTTCAACTCATGTATATTAAATAACACCATTATTTTAATATTAAATAGTATATATTACAACAGACTAAAATTATACTAAATGACAGATGTATATTAAAAAACACTAACTCCTCTTTTACTAGAGTAGATGACCAACCAATACAGAAATACCAGAAAGACTATCTGCTACGCTTTCTGTAGTGCAAAGCTTTTTCAGATAAGAACCAAGGATACATTGGCTAACAAAGAAATAGAATACTACACTTTCTCCTTGCATACACTTTTTTAGTCCAGCCATTTTTCCAAGGCTTTGGAAAAAAAAATCTAGAAAAAATAAATCTAGATACAGTAAGTCTGGAACATAAAGAATCCAATCTGATGGCTAGGTGTTTGCAACCTTTGGCAAAAAAGTTGGCAGAAATAGCAAGAAATACCAGGCAGAAGAACTATAACTGCTAATTTACTAGTCCCGTTCTGACAGATGCTTTCTCCATACGGACAGTATTTCCAGATGGAAGACTTTTAGGAACAAAGTAAAACAAGTAACACTCTATATTCCAGCTGCATGGGAGTGACCATAACACATCTGTGTTGTCAGCTGACTTAAAGAATTCCCACTTACTATTATTTTATCACATCCTCTTTCTTTTCCCTTCCCTAGGCAGAAGGTTCTACACTAAGAATTGGCACACAGACAATGGGGTATCCCTCTCAGACTGTGAAGCGTCAGATTTCAAAAGGAACCCACTGGAAAGAGAACACCTCTTTGTTCAAGCATGCATTTCATAGGGGGAGAAAAAAAAACTAATCCTTAAACAAGTCCATACCAATGAAGCCCGCTATTCTAGTACAAGGGAGAAAGGTTAATGCTCTTGGAACTTAGTGATCTATCCGTTCCCCTACACCTCCTGTTTTAAGCACAGCTCCCCACCCCAGCAAGCTTTGAATTTGGGGTCTCCAAAGACTTGGAGGATTAATATACTGCAAATATTTTATTTTTTTTTTAGCCAAACATAAAAGGCACTTAGGTCTACTACAGGTTTAAATATTGATTTTAAGCCTGTTCTACACAAAAATACTTTCACAAAGGAGTCCTTACGTTTCCAGCCTAGCCTTTTCTTCAGCAAATTCAGAAGGCTTTAAATAATGTCCATATGGTGATCAGCTTTGTTCTGACAAATGACTTCACATAAAACCATCACCCAACACTTAGTTCCTTCCTTAGGTGCTCAATTTTTCTCGCTGCACTTACTGATGTGCAGAGTGATGGCCAAAACCAACACTGATGAGTCCTTTGCATGTTATTACTATTCTGCCCCACATTTTCCTCAAGCTTTTCCCAATAGGGTCTGAAAGACAAATTATTTTTTTCTCAACTTTAAAATAGTGTCTACACAATTAAAGCCTTTGAACAATAAAGGAAGTTTCTGGTAAACATCCATAAATACCTTATTTCAAATTAATGCCCAAAGACCAGCAAACCTGCTGAGAAGCTGGTGTTTTAGGACTTGTCAGGGCAACAGCTACTCTTATGTCCTATTTCGATTTTAAGGGTTGTGTGGTTGTGTGTTTTTTTTGTCCCCCACTCCACCCCGGAGTATCCTTTAGCTACGCAATCAGTCAAATAATTGACCCAGTTACATTACAATATAACTAAAAAGCAGTTTAAACATGGAAAAATTACTAAATGAGAAAGTATTATTAGCAATTTTGAATGTTACAGTGCACTACAACATTATGAAAGGTGATGGGGAAAATACCCATCTCCAAGATTTACTATTAAAATTTCACAGATTTTTCAAGGTTGTTTAATGCTAGATACATTACACACATACAAACTGGAAGTGATTTTTAACAATAAAAATAAGAATGCATAACTTCAAGAAGAAAACAAGTTCCTGGATCACTAAACAAGAGCCTACTGCTGATAAAATAAATGAAAATTAAAATAAGTGATAAAGTGCTGATCTGCAGATTCTTAAATAATTTAAGATTAGAAGCATGTACTAATATTGAGACCAGCTTGTTGAAGCCCATAATAAGCAAACTCTCTCTCTTAACAGGCAGGTCTGGTATGAAAAGTGTTTTCACTTAAATAACAACATGTGAATACATGCAATATATGGAGCCCATGAAGACTGAAGGAAGAACACAGAAGAGCATAAAGCAGGAACTGAAACTTAAAACTTGCTCCTTTCAGACAAGGACATACAAAGACAAAAAAAATCACCCTTTAATCTCAGATTTTCCGATCTATTTCCCAAGCCCATTGAATACCAACATCAATTAGTTATGCAGAGATTAAAACCATGCCCCAAACCACTGACGATTATTAAGGGCTCACTTTATAAATGACCAGAAGCATCGTGCAATGCATCCTTGGGCAGCAGCAGAAAATGAAAAAATAATGTGAGGAGAGAGGGAAGGGGGGGAAAAAAGAAAAAAAAAAAAAAGATTAGTTATTCCTCCAGAGACATAATATTGTCCCAGTACAGTAAGTCACCACCTCTGTTTTCCCCTAAAGGAATGAGGGAGTATAAAACCAGTATTACCACATGTGGGATTCCAAGAACAATTCAAAATAATTCCTTGGCTCCTTTATAAGATATTGAACCCGATCTCATTTGGACAACATCTTCTGAAGAAATCAAAGAGGTGACCAATTTAATCACAGTAACTAATGATGTCAAGAGGCTGCAGCAGAAGAATATGAATAGCTTTCACACTGTGGTAAAATTTCCATTCATTTGAAACATTTAACCGCTTAACACAAAGGCTAGAAACTACTCTTTAAATTCAGAAAATAAGGAAAAGCTCTAATTTAACACCAGACCCGGAGTCCCGCTTCGCTAAATTGAAGATCTAGTGGATGCCAGGGCTACTAGATGTTGGAAGTCACTGACCTGCTCCATGCATAGACAGACTCATGTAATTTTTCAACAGCACACTTACACTTATAGCTGAATTTCAGTTTAGGAAGTAAGCTATCCCCACACTTAAGGTTTTAATACAACCACCATCCATACATCCATCCACCAAAAAGCAGTCAGTTAGAAAAAGGTAAACTGTAAATGGTTAAGAAATGGATCATTACTGCTGCAACGTTTGGGGGGAAAAAAATTGCTTCTTTGCATGAAAAAAAAAAAAGAAAAAAAAATCTGCATCTCAGCCTTCAGCAATACCACTGTTAACCAACTTATATAAGCTTGAAGAACAAACTCATGTAAAAATTGCCTTCTTTTCACTTGAAGAGTGGTTTGAGACCCACCAAGAAATTCTAAATAAAGGCTTCTGAGTAGTACTAGGACAGATTTGGTATTCATGTAAATGCTGTTATCCAAAGAGGTTAAATACTCACCAGAACACACCATACTCAATTATCTTTCCTTTTAGCAAATATGTGATGGCAAAACATGGATATAGATACAATATCTTCTGAGATGAAAGGAAGAAGACATGGAAAGACCCATCCATGAATTCAAATATGTGCTGCTGAATTCAAATATGGTGCTTTTTTTTCTTTAAATGTTCCTCTAGAAGATAAGTTTCTATGTGTTTGCCTACTGATAGAGTATCAAATCAGTAGATACTGACCAAAGTTATCTATAAGCACTTAACATACTTGCTATCAGTATCCCATGGATTGGAGAATACATTTTTTTCTTTAGGTTACAGCATAATGCAAAATGTTCCTTCCTGTAACCAAAATAAATAGTCCATGCAAGAGTGTCTGACACCAGTGTCTCTCTCCTTTTGTAACGTAGGTGTGGTGAGTTGCACTGCAGCCTACTGTACTAGAACTTTGTTCTCAGCAGTCTTTAACACGTCTTATATCCACGCATTAGATCACTGCTTTCAAATTTGGACATGCTTATTATAAGTATGAAGGCAAATGTTAATTCTAAACTACAGTGTGCTGTGAACATGTTCATCAATTTCCAAGAGCATAGGCTTGTTCAGTTTGATCTCTGCTGATCAAATAAATTCAAATAAAACATCAGGGAGAGAGACTGCATACTAACCTGGTATCCCTGGAAGAAACTGAGAATCTCCTTCATTCCTGTGTTATATGGCAAGCCCTGCATACGGACTAATGCTCCAGGCTGGGGCAGAATTGGAGTGTGGGTGGCAGTGGCAGCAGCAGCTACAGCTCCTGGAGGAGCTGCGATATACCCCACTGTGGTAGGGGATACTGGAGGACTGAAAGAGAAACAGGGGCAAAATTGTTATGAAAACCAGTAACTGATTTTAGTAGCTGGAACACGCAAAGATGAAACTGAAAAAATTGAGAATAAGACGAAAAAGGCATGCGCGCACAAAAAAAAAAAAAAAAACATGAGGAAACAGCCTTGATATGGACTGCTCTGCTGACTTCCCTTATTTTTCTTCAGCGTTTGACAATTTTTGGGGAAGAGATGTAGAGGAAAATAGCTAGCATTTGCAGTCGAAGAGGTTAAGAGTGGTACTTGTTACTTCACTGTGGAGGAGAAAACCAGAAGCTACAAATGACTTGTTCTAAGATCATTAATAAAACCATACAAATAGGAGGCAGGAGGAAATCATAGTAAGAGAAGCAGCCAAGAGCCCAAATATGGTGCTTTTAGGCCACAAAAGAAGTAATATCTCCAGTCAAGACCTGTCTAGCAATTTACTATGTAGTCAGGTTAGTGTCACAAGCCTAGGAAATGTCAATGAACAAACTCTTCCCCCACAGACTCAAGCACCAGACTTCAGTAAGCCATGTTGATAATATCAATGGGAAGGGAAAAGGTAGAGATACCTGCTTTGCTTATACATGTTAAGAAGTTCTTTGGTCTCACTGATACAAGATATCTAGCAGACTTACCAGAGGTACTAAGCGTAGTATTAGTATAGAAACGGTACTGTAAGTACAAGATCAAACCAAGAGGAGGACAGAGGCATGTATTTACACAGTTTCTCATTTGGTCAAGAAATAGAATTGCCTTGATATCACCCCAATGCCAAAAATGCTGTTAAACAATATACCAACATTATCACGAGATGCAACCAAATCCTACAGAAAAGCTGAACTTCATTATAAGGCCACAGAAAAGTAGTCAAAAGGGTTACTTTCCCCGCTTATTAATGTCAACAAATTCCTAAGACTGTCTACACCTTAAGTACAAATTTCAGACCAAATGCACAGTTGCTTACTCCACTGAGATGAAATGGCAAGAGAAGCAGTTAAGTCTAGAGGGTACCTGGGATAGTAAGCTGTGTAATTCATATAAAGCTGAGCTGCCTGAGCTGGGTAGTAGGTAACAGTTGGAGGAGCAGCAGCTGATGCCTGGGGAGTCCTGGCGGCTGGCAAGAGGGCTTGTGGCTGGTAGAGCGCTGCTTCTGCTGGGATCACAGCTGCTGTTTGGAAAGCAGCATAAGCTGGTGGAGAAAGACCTAAAAACAAATGAGGACACAAGAACAACAACAACAAAACAAAAAAAAAAAAACAACAATTAGAATGGAGATCTCTGCAGTAGGAAAGGAACTGTTCATCCTAATGTGACTGACTGCTCTCTAACCCCTCTCCAGGAGACCCCTGTGCATTACCCTGAATGACAACTGGTGCATTTGAAATGAGCAATTCCTAAGAGATCACAACTCCTCAAGCTGAGCAGCCGTGTCCATATGTACATGGAAAGCAGGTAACTTCAGAGTTATTTAAAGAAAGCATAAAGCCATATGCATAGAGAAAGCAGGCGTGCACACCAACACACCCCTTTTTTCTTTCTAACAGAAGTTGTACTCTGTGGGACGAAAGAACCATAACATTAGCTACATGTGGGCATCTACAACTGCTGACCACAAGTTTTCATATGTAAGCCTACTGCAGCTTCAAAAAGTATTTTTAGGATATGGCAAAAGTTTTTAAGAAACACAACAGGGAAAAAAAACACTAAATCACTAGTCTGAAGCATTCTGACACAAATACCTGACTTGCATAAGAACACGAAGCTTAGTGTGCAGTCAAATTGTTTTTAAATAGTACATTTGGCTGCTTTTTACCATTTTGCAAATACACATTGTATCTGCTTTGTGATTTGGTAGTGAGACTAATTAGAATGGTACAGTGAAGTTCCATTATAGTTCCACAATAAAGTTCACTACAATTTAATAAAAAGAAAAATAGAAAAACTAAATATCCTTCCAACTAACATATCATCCCAGTGGGTGCTTTCCTTCAAAAATAAGCCCAAAGAGTACCTTCTCAATGCTCTAAGGCAAGATAGCAGGAGCACTCATTGGCAGCTAGAATATAAAATTTCTCCCCCTTTTAAAAAATGCCTCTAATTCCAAGTAGGTTTCACTACAGGCGAGTCTACTGCAGAGCTCAGAAGAACAGTACACCCATAAAAAGCAAAGTGTGCAACAATTTCACTGGCAAGGCCTTGCTGCCCTCTATTCACCACCGAAAACACAATAAAAATGGCTCCAATCAGTCCCATTATTGCCCAAAGGGAACAATTCCAATCTCAGCATGTATACAGATGAATGATTATTGATCATGGCAAAACCCAAGTCAAAAGGTGAAAGGCCACAAAGCTTCAGCACCTACCACATATCAGCCTTTAGCAGCAGAGAGCAGAAGAATTGCAGACTTACATGGTAACTTACATGGCGGTGGGGATAAGCCACTACGATTTAAAGTGCCACCCATTAAAACAAAGTTCATCTCCTCTCCCGAACACTGGAATACTTCCACATAACGGTCCTTCATCATTTTTTTGTGACATTTTTGAGCCACCATAAAGGCTTTGTCAGCAGATTTCATTTGGATAAAAGCATCACCTGATGGTCGTCCCTATGAAAAAGAAAAATCTTAAATCAAAGTGCTTTTAGAACAACAAGAGCAAAAGAAACATAGAAAGTATTAAGATTTTGTTCTTAGAAAAGCAAATTAGTGTTCTTCCTCATGTCAACAATTATTTTTAGAAGCAAAGGCAAGACTTGTGTAGCCAACACCCTTAACTTAATACTACTTCCTTTTTCCAGAAGGAAACGTAGAATAATTTGGTATGGAAACAGAATTTGAAGGCCTCTTATCCAAACCAAAGCAGAGCTAGCTAACACATTCAGGTTACATCAGGCCAATCGTGGTCTTCTCCATTTGAATTTTAAGCATCTCCAGAGGGTAGAGAGGTACATGTAGTAGATCTCCCTCATTTGTTTCCTTTAAGGATAATACCTCAATGTTTCTGTGACCAATAGTATATTTTTTACACAAGATGACAAGAACAAAAGAAATCCTCATGGTTACATCATTAAAATATATCCAAAACATAACTTTAATTATCAGATTCCTTTAAACCCTGATAAGTCTCTAATGAAGTTAGAAAAAAAATGATTTTTCCACAAATGGGCTTATAGAACACAGCTGTGATTGAGCACAAACTGTGAACAAGGCAGATACGCCATCTTACATGAGCCATTTCCATCTTGTGTATTTCCAGAATTTGACTGAAACACGAGGGAATATTTAAGGCAGCCTCAAGGACAAAGCTATTAGTCAAAGAAAACATGCCACAAGCTTCAACCTCCTCCCATTTTAGGCATACGGATGTTATAGAAAGAAAAGCAAGCATGTATGGGGGAAGGTAGGGAGAAGTGCTGGGGAAGAAAGGAAAAAGTCAAACAGAAGATAGTATTTTGTCAAGGTTATGGAAGACCTAAAGCATAGCAAATAAGATACCATGACTTCTAATTTGGTTCAGTAACTGGAAAGTCAGCTCTCCTGTGCAAAATGCTGTTACCTGTTGATTAAGGACCATGTGAACCCCATGGGGCTTGATATCAGCTGTGGCATCTCCCATAAATTCCAGGATGTCGTCAATGCCAGCAGTGTAAGGAAGGCCTCTGAGCCGGACACAGTCACGTATGCTACCCGTGGCAATTGTGTATGGTGGGGGTATGACAGGAATGATGGGAGTTGGGAGGGTGGGAATAAGAGGTGTTGACATGTATCGATTAAGTACCTGTAGGGAATGAAAAAAAAGACACTGATAGAGATTTACACATCATCTGGTTGAGCACAAATCAGTTCTCACAATAGTATTTCATATGTTTAAATAAATCCATTTCCAATACCAGAGAAAATGCCTTCTTGAACCAAATTACTGTGGACAGCTTCCCAGAAAGGAACATCTGAAAACAACGTTCACACTAATACACCAGTCTTGTCACTTACACTTCATACTTAAATTACAGTAAATTAAAAACATCTAGTTTAAAAGAACTGAGATCTGAAATAAATAATAAGTAAAAAGATTAATTCTTTCATAGACCTGATAGGTTAATAAACAAACACCTTAATTAATCAAAACAACCATGCTGAAGTACAGGGCTTCTGGAAAAAAAAAAAAAAAAAAAAAAGCTACAGGAGACCTTGGTCTCAACATTTTATTTTCTCTTGACTCATCCCCTTGTGACAGAGGGAACCTAACTTGCTGTTGGGGTTTATTGCTGAAAGACATATTTAGCAGTGATTATCAGAAATAAACACATTCCACTGAAAGACGCACCAAGGCAAAGATAATAAAGCTTTAGTATTGTCAATAACGATCAAGCCTATTGAGTTTGTCTTGATAGAAGCTTTTTTTCAAGAATCTATTCTTGTAGCACATTTCAGGCCAGAAATCTCCCCTCATTGCGTATAGAATATTGCAATCACTTTGTGTTAATTTAAATAGATGAAAGCTGTCTTTACACAAACAAGTTGCCTTTAATTCCCTAAGAATCATCTCTTGCTCAAGCAGTAAAAAACTAGGGTGTCACCTTAGAAAACTGACCTAGAGGAAGAAGTAATGACATATTGAAAGAGCATGGGTTTTACCCAGGTCTCCCTAACAGAAACAAGAACAAAGATCCGGTCACTGTGAACACAGTGGCTTTGTTCCTTTGAGGACTTTGCCTCATTTTTTCAGCAAAGCAGAATTGAGGAGAAAATAAGTTTCACCATGGCATTTTGCTTAGTCTTCATAATATTCATTATCAGATTCTTGACTGTTGTATTCTCCATGCAACAGTACTATAGGTAAATGGCAGGTCTGCGTGTGTGAATATTTTTTCCCATGCCCCATCACTTTTATGGAAAAAGCTTCTCATTTCAGATAGTAACAAACAGTAACTGTATGCAAGCTTTATAGCCAATGTTTATGCAAAGGCCAGATGAAATCTCATAATGGTTTCCACAATTTTGGCATTATCAGTATAGAAATATTATGTCACGAAGAAAAATTTAGTATGTGATGTTTTTTAAGGGTTCAAGTTGCGGGTGCCAAAATGAAACGGTAGTTTACCAGTTTAAGAAGATGATCATGATTAAAAACTGGTCAAGAAAAGGAGAAAAAAATGAAATACATTATCTTAGGAAGAGAGATATCTCACTTCCCTTCACCAAATATCAGATACATCCTAGTAATTCCTAGTGTCCAACAAAAGAACTGTAGGAAAAGCTCTTTTGATGTAGCCAGATTTGAATTTCATGTTAAATTCTGTGCATAGGAAACAGATTTTAAAAGACAATACTGCAGACTTCAAATCAGTATTACTGAAATACTATTAATCTAGTACATTTTTAGAATTATTTTTGAGATTTCAGTCAATCTTTAAGTGGAAGAAAATTATCCAATGGTTTTTACTTCATGATCTGGGGAATGTTAAAAAAAAAAGTGGCAGTAAATGCAAAAAAAAAAAAAGAAAAAACACACACAAAACAATGCTGTACCCTTTTCCATGCCAAGCAGTAAGCACATGTTGCCCTATCTAGAGCTTGACATCTTTAATATAGACAACTTACATGATTGTCTACAATATGTGCATGTGATCATTTAAATAAATATTTAACTGTTTTGAGTTTCACAGCCAATAGTTACAACCTGCTGGACTTCTGCTGCTGTGCTCCGGAAGAGTTCAATGTAACGTTTTCCAAGGATTTCTTTGTGCTTTTTAAGTGCATTCTGTGCATATTCTTCACAGGAGAACAATACAAATGCATCTCCTGTGGGCCTGCCATCTGGGTACTTGACAAAGAGAAGTCCCTCTTTCCCTCCTGTGACCGGGCACTCTGGCCCCAGGAACCCCAACACATCCTCCTGAGTAGCAGTGAATGGAAGGCCTCTCATCCGGATGATAACTTGATTCTCTTTAGATAAAAACTGGGCAACTTCATTGGAGGTACCTGGTAGGAAGATATTAACATACAGTCAGCCAATTCCATATGACAGAGGAACAGAAAAGCATTAAGGAGCAACACAGGGGGTAAGTAGCTAGCAACAAACACACACAAGACCTGAGACAATATTAACTCACAGTAATTTATTTTGAAGTGAGACCCCCCTTACCCTTAAAGTCTTACACATTTTAATGAAATTGTAACAAAGAAGAGATTAGTGAGGTACATAGACACTTCTGCCCCAAAGGTTCCCCTTCCTCCCAAACACCAAGCCCAGCCTACAAACATCACAGCTCAAGTGCAACCACATGAAACCAAAACTTCACAGGGTCAAGGATTCTTAGAAAGCAAAACAGGAAAAGCTACTTCATTAGTTGTGTCCTCAGCCAAGAGAGTGTCCTGGTTTCAGTTAGGACAGAGTTAATTTTCTTCCTAGTAGTTGGTAGGGTGCTGTGTTTTGGCTTAGGATGAGAAAAGTGCTGATAACATGCTGATGTTTTAATTGTTGCAGAGCAGTGCTTACACCAAGCCAAGGACGTTTCAGCTTCTCACTCTGTCCTGCCAGTGGGCAGGCTGGGGGTGCAGCAGGAGCTGGGAGGGGACAGACCCAGGACAGCTGACCCAAACTGGCCAAAGGGGTATTCCATCCCATATGTCATGCTGCTGAACTATCTATAGGGGTGGCTAGCCGGGGTGGGGGGGCCGGACTGCTCAGGGTTAGGCTGGGCATCGGTCAGCAGGTGGTGAGCAATTGCATTGTGCATCACTTGTTTGTACGCATTATTAGTAGCAGTACTATTATCATCATTGTTATTATTATTATTGTTATTATTTTTCTATCTTAATAAACTGACTTTATCTCAACTCACAGGCTTCACTTTCCCTTTTCTCTCCCCTATCCCAGACAGGGAGGGGGGAGTGTGAGTGAATGGCTGTGTGGTGTTTAGCTGCCAGCTGGGTTAAACCACAACAGAGAGGTATCAGAACTAGAATGTGCCTATGAACTTGAATAATTATACTGAACTCCAGCATCACTTACCTCCTGCAATTTTTAAGAATTCTTCCCCAGTTGCTTTGTAAACCTTAAAGAAAACAAAATCCATACATGAAAATTACAGTATTCAACTATTTCACGTATGAGTGTATTTTTGTTATTTAGAGCAATACAGGAGCATGCATAGTTCTCATTCAAAACCATACTCTTTGCTCTCCAAAGATTTGCTTCAAGTCATTACTTTTTACCTCAATGTATCTGCTACCCATGTGATGCTTATGTCTTTCCAGTGCCAAATCTCTCTGTTCAGAATTGACAAACCGAACTAATGCTTCACCATTTCTTCTTCCTTGAGCATTCAGACAAAGAGCCACACCACCTCTGGAATGTAAAGCCAATAAAATAAAAAGTGAGATGTTGGATCTCATGCTGTTTGTCACTTTTTCAATGTCCATGCAGGTGTATTTCTGTAACCCCTTCCTATCGTCTCAGATTCAGGTTTGAATTTCCTCATACACCTACAGGAACAAATCAATCATATTTACTCTGCATTGAATACCTGGAATATATATTGGCAGGTACGTTACATTAGAATGAATCACTTCACATGTACACACCCACACAAAACAATCATATGAAAATTTCTTCTGAAGAACACTTGGAAGTTTCTGAATCTGGCCTGCTTAGGAGTTATACTAGAATACTGATATGTTAGCACAAAACTAAAGCTTCTGTTATGCCTTGGACTCTTCCTTGACTGACGCAGTAGGAATTTCTCCCTGTAGTTACTAGCAATAAATGAATGTATCCTGGTTTTCAAATCATATCTCCTTTCTTTTTCACACACTTCAAAAAACATTTATTTGGCTTTTAAGTCTTGCAAGTAGGCAACAAGATTATTCTAGAAAATATTCATATTAAAAAAAAAGAAAACTTACAACAGGCTTCTGAAACCCCTCCAAGCCTTAGTGTACTCATTTGTAAATCAAAAAAAAAAAAATTATCTTCTACCCTCTCTGACACAGAAATTTCACAGAGAAATCAATTTTTATCTGAGGTTCTAAGAATCAAAAGAGCTGATATCATCCTAAAATGCAACGTTAGCAAGCTAGAAATAACATACAATAGAAACACAGGAACATCTTTTTCCTGAACTGGCAGGACTGAATTTGGGGGGGGTGCATAATAAGAGGTCTTTTTGTACAGTTGTCATTGTATGTATGATAGAGCATTATCTAAATAGCAAGGTATTTTGCATGCACATCTTCCTAAAAGTAACATGGGACAAATACAGTCTCAAAGCTTGAATCATCTTTCAACATGTTACTATCTGACTGATTGGTTCTAACTAATTTATTTTTTAAATAAGCTAAGGCCATCACATCTCCAGCCTTAGTTTACCCAGGAACTGTGAATTGCACAGCTAAGAGCCTGAGAACCTTTGTTCTCAATTCAATTCTTTCTTGCACAGTTAAGCTGGTAAACCTACTCAGTTATCATGAACATGAGGTGGGAAGGTGCTGGAGGTGGGAAAGATATAAGAAAGCACTTCTGTGCATGCATGTGTGTGAGAGAGAATGCACACACTAAATATTAAACACATTTGATGTTAAACACCAAGCGATAAAGGCAAGACAAATTCTTATTCTCTTACTTAGCAATATTCAGTCCTTTGAAAAATCGGGCAATATCTTGGTCTGAAGACTGCCATGGCAAACCTCTGGCACGTATTACTGTCTCATTGTCCACTGTTTCAGATTTACTACTGCACAGAAAGAAAAAAAGAAGCAAAATTAAGCTTTAATCTAGGTTTTCCATTATCTTTCCAAGTTTCAATTTACAAGTCATTTAACTTGAAAAAACAGAGCATATTTGTAGTTGAGACTCTTCTAATTCTGCTACTCATTTCAGTAAAGAAAAGAAAGATAACTGGGGTAATTCCTTTACATACACAATACCTAAGATGCAGTGTATTATCATCACATAGCAGTTCCTTAAGAAAAATAAGAAGGTTGTTTCAAAGCGAAGAAATAAGGAACTTCCAAATTTAATCTAATCTAATGTAGATGATTACAAGGAAGTCTTAAATATGAATATACATTACTTATGCTTCAGATGTGTAATTCTCCAGTTCCTGACATGTATTTGAAAATAAAGAACTATTCTGTTTCTTGTCTCCCAAAAATCCAAAGTCAATTTAGATTAGAAGAAAAAAAAAAAAAAAAAAAGGAAAAACTGAGCTTCTCTCTGTTAAATATGAGAAATCTACTTCATGTGAGGAATAGTTCCCATCTATCTAAAAACTAAGTTCTCAGCAAGAAATCTGTATAAAATCAAAGTGTCGCCTAAATTGTAATACAGATCAAGATAGGGTAGAGACATGCCCATTTTAATGAGCACACTGAAAAGACAAAACACCTGCAGTTGGGTAAGGAACACGTCTGCTAATCAACAGCTTCCATTTTGTCACTTGCACAAAGCAGAAACCTAGGAATCTGTTTAAAAAGATGTCCAACTACACTTTGTCTAGACAGCAAATAATTAACATCAAGACTTTCACAGAAGCATAAGGGATCCACTTGTGTAATACAAAAAGATCCCTTAAGTAGGATCTCAAAACAATTAAAAAAAATAATTTGCTTCAACCACAGCCTTGTAAGACAGTCTGCAATACAGCATATTAGACAACTCTTCAAAAGCACCATGTAACGTAGTTCAGCTCCATATAGGGAGTGCCAGCCATTACCCCTGTTGACTTAGGGAAAGTTCACAAATATTTCTTCACCATTGGGTAAGATAAGTCAGCCTCACTGCCATTCAAAACAGAAGCTAGTGAGCAAAGAGCGTTTTACTTGCAGTGACTTTTAAGACAGACTAACGTACAGCATTCAATGTACCAGCTACGGTCTGTCTGCACTAGACCTCCAAACATGCTGTAATTGTTCTCAGGAATCAACCTAGTTTCACAGAGATGGAAGGAAGGATTTGGAATCTTTCCTTGCTATAGACAAAACTCAGCTTTGGTTGTAATGAACTATAACAACAGCACTTACCATGGACCTGTTTCGTATTTGTATTTCACAGTTTCAGGCTCAGTAAATATGTGATCTGCAACAAAACAGGACATTGAAATATAACCAGGGTCACAGATTACTTAAGAATGACAGTACCACTGTCGATTCACACAGAAAGGAAAAATTTCAACATTCTGAATAAACAGGTCACTTACTACAACTTTCAGAGAGCATGCTGAAAATGATAGCCACCATTGTTTTCACTTGCCACACGCCGAAGTCCTCCTCTGTTTCATCTGTCCCTAAGCCTAGATCTAAATAGGTGATTATAGAAAATAACAGACTTGCACAATCATTTGTAAACAAGCCATAAGGCTTCCCTGTTATTAACATGGAATTGGTAATCAAATCACACTGGTCTTAGCAGGGACACGTGACCATTAGGCATTTGTAACTCTGCTCATAAACTGGTTAATATTCACTTTAACAGTCAACATTCTGAAAACTATTGATAGCTTACATCATTTAAGCTTTAACAGTTGGAAAAAAAAAAAAAAAACAGAATAAATTCCTATTACTTCAAACATAACTGAACTTTAACCAAATTCTTCTGGGCCATAGCAATACTCCTAAAATGTAGATGTAGAGGTGGGTTTTGTTTTGTTTAGATCAGAGAACAATTGTCTGCAAACAGTGGAAACTTGCAGGCTACTTGACCCTGAAGAAGCTCACTGATAGCCAAGCCTTTCCTTTAAGGATCAAATATAAATAAAAACGCTGTGTGTTTTTTTTTCCTCTTGTTTTGTAATGGATTTATTACATATGGTTTAGATCTCATTATTAGAGTCAAAATAGAAAAATATTACAAACAGACACTCCTCCCTCCCCCCCACGTACACTCACTTGAATAATTTTACCTAGGAGATTTTTAAAATTCACATCATAGCTCAGTAGAATAAAACCCATAACAATCACAGGGGTAAAACCTAAAAAATCATAACTGCTTCAGTTGCAAAAGCTGCAGCAAAAGGATACATTCTGCCATGGTCTTGATAGTCTGGTCCTTCACGGCGGCTGAACTAGGGTAGCATGTGTGAAATTCTTTGCGCAGATCATAAAAGGAATAGAAGCAGTCTGATAGCAGGAAGTTCTACAAAGAAGGCAAAATGATTTTGTATACATTCCTTTAAAATTCCGATTAATACTTTTGGACTGAATGAGGTAATCTCAAGAACTACATAGTTGCATGTCATCATCATCTGTCTATGATAGACCAGTGGTTTTTTTTCCTTTTTAATAGCTCAAATTCCATAGTCTTCCAAAATTACTGCTTTCATGGTATTATAGGGTTGCTCTATTTTGTTTGTTTCAGTCCATTTTTTTCAAGTGGGAAGGAAAAAGAGTTACCCACACAACCCATATTGCAGGATGGCAGCATGTGGCCTGATTTAAAAACAAAATCAAATAAAAAATAGTACTATCACATTTGAATGCTAAACACCATTGTTTCCTTTCTTGCTTCATACCTACGTAAGTATTTGCTTTTATTAAAAGTCACAGAGCTAAATTTTAACACAACCCAAATGCCAGATGAATATTTGTAGAAACTCAGCATGACTACCGCCCTTATATAGAAAAGAAAAAAAATACAATTGATCCGTCAACTCCTTAAATGTCAGCAGCTCCCATTCCTGCAGGGTTCCTCCAGACCCTGCCAAGCAGGCTAACTCGGGAGCCACCACCCTGCACAAAGGCAAGATTCTTCTCCCCGCGCAAGACAGGCCTGAGAGGAAATTGCTGCTTCATATGGGAGTAGCAAATAAGCTGTAGTACTGCTTCCTGCTGAATAAATGCAGATGGGAAACAACTGCCATTCTCCAGGGCAAGTCATTGCATGTTTACTCTCTACAGGACACTGACACGTGGCTTCTACCAATTTTAGGTTTTGGTACAAACCCATAGCTCTGCACAGAACCAATGACTTAAGCCTAAACAAAGCAGCACTTCTCTACCACCTCTGCTGAGGTTAGACCTTTTCCCTATGACACTGAATTCAAACAACTTGTATTGTTCTTTATCCTGCCTTTCTTTATTTTCCTCATTATGCTTATCTGGGGGTCCTCAAGTACTGCATCTGACTTCCAAGAGCAATTGCCAGGGACTATTTCCGATGATGCCTTCCCTTTTACATCCCTTAGAAGCACAGAGCTGTTCTTGGAGCACTACAGTTGCCAAGGTTGAATTGTGTTGCTCATCTCAAACTCAGGTAAACCGTTCTCCTTCTTCATCAGTTCTGATCTCGTACCTTCTTAGATGTTTCTGGGTGGAGGACTTGTCGAATGAGTAACTGGCCATCACTGCAGAGCGTGTAAGAACTCCTTCCAAGTACTTTCAAATCACTGGATACCAGCTGAATAAACTAGAGAAGAAAAAAAACATTTGACTGACTAATACACATATGCCAAAAAAAATGAGCATTTACCATTAAAAATAAAATTGGTAAAGAGAAAAAAATTGACACTTCATAACAGATGTGGGCTTCTGATAAAAGGCAGGAATAGAAATGGTATGCTTTTACAGAATAAAATATAAGATGACCAGCAGTACGGCAAAAAGAACTAGGACAGAATGGCAGAATTATGACTTCATATGAAAGGCAATGGTATTGTAATGGTAAGGTTCAAAATCTGAAGTAATTACTAAAAAAAATGCTGTGAAATATTTTAAATAAAAAAAACACAATGTTTCAAGATAAACCACAGTACCGATTGCGCAATAGTCTTTCTTCACCTATGCCACCTTTGACCTCAGTTCTGTCCTTAAAATTTCATTTTGATTTCTACTTCTAAAAGGAAAAAAAAACACCTACCCATCTGGATTTACTAATGTTTTGGAAGCTGTATGTCAAGAAAAGCCAAAGAAATTGTGGTCTGATACCTTCAAAAGTGAAATTATAATGAAGTCAGATCTAGGAAAATGAAAGTCTTTGCAGAGATACAGCATTACTAACATTAGCTAAAACAAAGTTATTCCCTGCCTGTAGGATAGATAATCCCCAACAGATTAATTCTCAAGAGAAAAGGGCTCCACCTGTATCTTGCCCAAAGTTGTTTTCCATCCTTGGACAACAGTTTCTAGTCTTTTATTAGCCCATAGCAGTTGACTATTATAAGCAGAGAATTTAACACTAATACAGTATAGTAGCTACACTTTTCAAATCAGTAAATAGCAACTTGTTAGCTAACTTTCAAGGGGACAAATATAATTATTCTAAGCTTCTCTCTTGATGCTACTCCCTCCCAGGAAAGCATCTGATCACAAACAAAGCAACAATTAACAACATGATGCAGTAGACATCCATTGAAAAATAACCTCCCCTCATCTCCTCCTAACAAATTAGAACAAATTTGCAATTCCTAAGATATGTTTCTACCTTTTAACCTGTATATGAGGAAAAATAGAGTTGGTTTTTTTTCCCCCGCTATCAACACATGCAACATGTTACATTCTCTGCTTAGAGAGGCAACATCCTAATGACCTGCTCCCACAGCTACACAGCTTTAACTCTGAACAACTGTTGTAGCATTTATGTCTCAAAGGTAAGGTTCACAAGGGAGCAATCTTGCATTGGACATGGATTAGCAGCAGAGACAAGACTACCCAGGCTTTAATTCAAAGTAACTACTCAAATCCAATTCTGGCCCTTGTTAATGCTAACAGCATTCCACTGCCGCTTGGGGTAATGCTGTAGTAGTGGTTCCTAAATCCCCCTAGACAGAGAACTGAGGGGGCAACACTGAATAAGGAGAGGCACTTCCATCAGCATCTTGTGCGAGTCGCTTAATTTGCATATATTACATTAAACTATATTAAAATTCATTTTATATAGGAACAGAAGGTATTTGATACTTTTAAAGGGATGAAATATTCCCCCTGATCCTTTTTAATGCAGTTCTTTGCACACTATCAAAGCACACAAACCTACCAAAATAAATAATTATATACGTATATTTATATTTTCTCATTCTTGCAGATTCAGAAAGCCAGTTTCCTCCCAGTTGCTACTTCAGGTTCCTACCACAAGATGAAGGCTTGGAGAACCTGAGGCCATAAAGCAAGTCATTGTTTAGGAATAATTTAAAAAAAAAAAAAAAAAATCAGAAAATTGAGATCTGAGAGTGCTCCAAATACCTCAGCTGATGTGTAAACACCACAAAAAGAAGAAAATTCCACACGAACCACTTCAGAAAAGCAGTTACAGGGCCTTCCACAGTCACAGAGCAGCAACAAATATTCTCACCATAACAGACAGGAGGAGAACTGTCTTTTTACTAAATGCAACACCTTCATGCTTTAACTTCTGGGCACAATAAAAAGCAAATATTTGTAAGAAGGGATTGGAAATAGGTATAGGCATTAATTAGCCTCCCAAAGGTGTACAGGGATTCTTGCCAAAAGGAAGCAGAGCCTTACTGATGAGCAGTAATAAAACACTCCACAAACCTTCAACTTTGTACCCTGTGCTTCTGAAGATGTGGAAGAGCCCACATAACAAAAGTGCAATTAGAGAGCTGTTTTAATAAGATGCAAGAAGAAATCCCCCATACACATTTCGAGAGAAGCAGGAAATGCATGCAGCCTCATTTGATTTGTACAGCATAACAACTGTAGTTCAAAAAGCCTTCAAATTAGAAAACAAAAGCAGAAAAAAATGTTTGAACAAGAGAGGGAGTGCTCAGGCCAAATGGCATCAGATAAACTGGCAAAAAATAATCAAGACTGCTGCACTGAAACATTCACATTATTTTCTTCAGATCATTTCCCATACAATGTACAGCTGAACAGACAGATATACAGCACAACTATTTTCAGAAGCCCCTGGTGAGAAGACATCAAGTGTAACATTACACAAGTACACAGATAAACCAAATACTCAAGATGTACTAAGTTTTAAAAAAAACATGAGGCAGCAGTTGTTTTTATTTTTAACTGAGCCAGATTATTTGCACTGCATATGTAACAAGTGTTAGTGATAAATTTCAACATTGCAAACTCCTAATATGGGACAATCTACTTGTGAAAACAATTATCTACTCTTATTAGTAGATGTTAACGTTTTAGAGTGCCCCAGATAAAATGCCATAGGACTGGCAGGCCTTGCTGAATGCTTATTTAGAAACTTCTATTTTGAAAACAATCTTTTCCAAACTTTGAGGTGTGCTCCTCAAACTAGGCCAAAAGGAATATGGGAAGAATAGTTAGGAGTCACGATCAACCCTTCCCATCCAAACCAGCCTCGCTATCATACAGGTTAACCACGAAGAGGAATGAGGCAGAGGATTGTGAAAGGGAAAATTCACCTAGGAAAAAAGCACGAGGCAAAATAGCAGGCATAATTGGTAGCACTGAGGAACGAGAGATTTTTCAGATTAGTCTGAACTGGCTTCTTTCATCTACATGAGATGTCTTTAATTCTGGAAAGGTTAAGTATAAAAGCATAGCTGGAGACCAGCTCTCGTTACTATAGGTTACACCAGACCCCTAAGGCTTTCAGGCAGCAGATACATGTACAGCCTATCACATATGTTCAGAAGGAGTTAAAGCAACCAGTGTACATGCATTCATAAAGCTGTGTTAAAATGTAACTTCAGTGATTACAAGTTCCTGCTGAAAAGCCATCTTCAGCTTTTTTTTTTTTTTTTTTTTTTTTTTTGCGCACCATAAATACAAGGCAGTACCTCAGAAGGCAACCCAGAACAGTCATACACCAACATATAGCAAGCTCAGGACAAGTTAAGACCAGTGCCAGATTTACATTACAGTTTTCTGTCTCACACGTTCAGCAACCTGTCCACAAGTCTGTCACTTTATAAATTCCATCCACGTCTCCTTAACTCCACTAATAAAACCCATCTCAGCTATTTACCTCCCGTCATTCACCTTCATGCTGTTCTCCATAGAGCTGCCCCACTTTAGCATGCAAAGCTGCCCCACCTTAAGGCTTCCTCCACCAAGCTCACACACCCTATGGCTCCTGTTGATCTAGTCATTTCATAGGAACTGAGTTATACAGTGTTAATTACCACTCTTTGCATCTTGCAGCCAGCCCTCATTTAGCCTGCAAGAGCCACAGTGCAGAGGCATCACCCTGTGCTGCTTATTCCAGCAGGTCAGCCTCTGCTAGGGCTCTGATGAATCATTCCACGTTTAAAGGAACACGTTCAATAATTCACCACGCAGATTAAAAACTGAACAAAGAAGAAAGAATCGAGCAGGCTGCTCTGTACGTTTACCTCCCTGAAAGCTAAAACAGTTCTTAGGGAAAAGGTGGTGAGAGGGAAGGAGAGAGTCAGAGCACTGTCTGAAAAACTGGCTCTACAGGATTTGGGGCTTGTAGCTGGGAGTACAAAGAGAGCAAAGAGACATGTTTCGCCAGCAGCAAAGCTGGAGGAAAGCCAGCACAAGCTGCTGTGTTTTCTGCAAATGAATCCCCAGTGGCTGAAACGACACGGCCCCCTTCTCCGTGTAGCCTTAACTGAACAAAGCTGGGGATGGCAGGGAAACTTTAAGATTCCTCAGTAAGCTCTTTCAATAGCTATGATGCACGAAGCACTAAAATAAACCGCTGGCTATTTGGATATTCCCATTTCCCTAACTAAAAATAGCTCTCATCCTTGAGAAAGGCTGCTGAAAAAAAAAAAGCTCTGAGCTGTGGCTGGCATGGCAGTGAAGCAGGGAGCAGGCAGCTGCAGAACCCAGCCATGCTGTCAGCTAAGCCGTATCTGAACCCAAGATACCCTGGGGGGCTCTCTCTTTCGTCCACCTCTGAGAAATAACAGAAAACTTGGCTGCTTCTTACTCATCCGACCTGCTCCTAGTGCTTCTTCAGAACTGGATCCTCTGTTAATAAGGCACAAAAGTTTCTCTGTTTTGCTTCTGTTAGCCCTGCTAGCCCATCACAGCTATAACAGCACCAGGCTACACACAAAATCATTCACAAAGCCTCAGAATTAAAGGCGTCTTTGCAATTTAACTCTGGACAGAAACAGCTTCCAGATAGTAGCTTAGCTTTTGTGCCATGCTCAGGCTAGACATGCCTCTATATCCCCACACAGGTATTACATGGTGCTCGCTGTGTGGGGACATGGGTTCAGATCAGTGATATCAACAGGCATGCTAGTGAATTACCCAGAGATTACATTTTGGTTACACGTGGATACACAATCAAGTTTCTGCCAAATTAATTTCCAACAGGTCATTTGTGATTCTGTATAAAGCCTGTCAAAAAAAAAAAACTGTAACCATGTCTTCTAGATCAGTCCTTTGCAAAACAGGCGTGGAGCCCTGTTTTTATACACACGTACATTCTACTGTCAGGGCTTTCTATTTGTAGAGGAGATTAACTTCTGCTTTGCAAGA